CTCTAGGGTTTAGGGTTTAGGGTTTAGGTTAGGTGGTTGGATAGTAGGAGGAGTCTCCCCTAAAAAGGAAGGAGGGAGATGCAGCCGAAGTCCACACAGGACAGACCCCGTGCTAGGGTTTAGGGTTTAGGGTTTAGGGTTTGCTGTTAAGAACTAGTCTGTAGGTAGTCTTAATTATTTAGGGTTTGCTGTTATTTTTTTTCTTTTTTTTTTCTTTTTTTCTTTTAGGGTTTAGGGTTTATACTCTTAATTATATTTTTCTTGTTTGTTACTTATTATAAAACCCTAGACAAACCCTAATATTGTTGTGTCTATGATGCATGCGAAGAAGAGAGGAAGTTAAGAGGCGTCATTGTCTCCTTATAAGGGTTTAGGGTTTAGGGTTTAGGGTTTAGGGTTTGCAGCTAAGAACGTAAACCCGAGCAGGTGTTTATTAAGACATCTCTGTATACAAAGAATAAATATAAATATAAATTAAATTAAATAAATATAAAATAAATATAAGTATAAATATAAATTAAATAAATAAAATTAAATATAAATAAAATAAATAAATTAAAAGTAACAGATGAAGAGATACACCGCAGGAAACGCTCGTCGTCACTTATCTAAGGCCTGGTGCCGAGGGTTTAGGGTTTAGGGTTTAGGGTTTAGGGTTTGGAGCAGAGGAGTAAGAGGATCGTGCATAAAAGGGTAAGCAAATAAAAGAGAATAAAATAAAAAAGTGTCTTATTTAGAAGAAAAAGAGAATAAGAAGGTAAATACAAGAGAAAAGACAGGAGTTTTGCTGCTGTTGCTGCAGCAGCTACAAAACAGCAGCCGCAACAACAGCTGTACATACACCGCAGCTACTACTGCTACTGCTGCACGGGGCTGCTGCTGCATGCATTTTGTTGGTTTAAAGGCGATCTAGCGGTTAATTTTGTTCGTCTTTTATGTTTTCTTGGAAGTTTTTCATTTATTTAAATAAATAGCGAAGAAAAGACGCATTTAGTGGAGAAAAGCGTGACGATCTACCATTTCTGCTGTCACGGTAATTTGGGGTGTATAGGCAGCTACGCACACATAAAAAGAGTATATTTCATGATAAATTCGCCATCACAAGTATTCATTTTATTCTTTCTTGATTAAAAAAGAACTTTATTTCTCTTTTTTATCTGCAGAGGAGCTGCAGATACACCGCAAATTCTTCTTCTTCTTCCACCCTTATAAGCCGGGCATATTGTTGCATCGCTTGGTGGGGATAAATAGGGTATAAAGGATCATCTTTATTCTTTTTTTCTTCTTTTTCTTCTTTTTCTTCTTTTCTTCTTTCCTTTCAAGGGTTATTTATTTGTCTATTTTATCCTCTTTAGGGTAAATTGTTTCCCCTTATAGGGGGCCTCCCTATAAGGGGGTTGCCTACCGTTGTTGCATGCATTATATATTAAGGGTTTATTTTCTTCTTTTTTTCTTTTTTTCTTTTCTTCTTTTTATCCCTTTATATTATTAATAATAAAGAAAGGGAATATGGCGAGAGAAGAGGTAAGAAAATAATATAATTTATTAATAAACTAGGCACACAGATAAGGGAGGGAGGGGAAAAAAAGGGGAAAAAAATAAATAAATAAAAATAAATAAAAATAAATAAATAAAAGAAATAAAAGAGCATGGAGGGAGGAATATATAAAGGGAGGGGTAGATAAAATAAAAAAGAGGCAAAATAAATAAATAAATTAAATAAATAATAAATAGACAGAGTTGTTATCATAGACCTTCTTGAGGTGTATACATGCAGTAGGGTTTAGGGTTTAGGGTTTATGTGTATGTGTATACAGAGGCATAGATCAAGCTCTCGACGAAGGCACGACGCCCACGAAGATAGAGATCGAGACAGTAAGCTAGGGTTTAGGGTTTAGGGTTTAGATATTCATATCTTTTTTTTTTTTGATAATAATTTGAGGATGTGATGTATTGAATTAGGGTTTAGGGTTTAGGGTTTAGGGTTTAGGGTTTAGTGTTTATGTGTGTAGGTTATCCACGTAAGAGAGGTCGTCGTCATAGCAGCAGCAGAGAAACATCACCATCTAAAAGAAGAGAAAGAAGAGACAGAGACAGGGAGAGGGACAGGGACAGGGAGAGGGACAGGGAGAGAGACAGGGAGAGGGAGAGGGAGAGGGAGAGAGACAGGAGAGACAGAGACAGGGACAGGGACAGAGAGAGAGACAGGGAGAGAGACAGGGAGAGGGATAGATATAGGAGGCATACAAGAGAAGGAGACAGAGATAGGGACAGAGACAGGGACAGGGAGAGGGACAGGGAGAGAGACAGGGAGAGGGAGAGAAGGGAGAGGGAAGGAGACAGGAGAGGAGACAGATATTCTCCTTATAGGAAGAATCATAGTAGGAGTCCCCCCTTATATAATAATAATAATATAAATAATAATATAAATAAAGAAAAAGAAGAAGAAATAAATAAAATAAATAAAAAAGAAAAAGAAGAAGAAAAAGAAGAAGGAGAGGAGACAGCAGGAGAGGAGACAGGAGGAATAAATGATGAATATTTATCTGAGGAAGAAAGGGACAGATTATTTATTGAGGAAAGAAGGAAACAAAGAGCAGCAATATTAGCTAAATTAAATAGCAGCAACAACTGCAGCAGCAGCAGCAGCAACAGCAACAGCAGCAGCAGCAGCAGTAGTAGTAGTAATAGGAGTAACAGCAATCCTGCTGATGCAGCAACTGCAGCAGCAACTGCAGCAGCAACAGCAGATACACAAAGTATACAAAACTCAGAAGGACATACACCACCACAACATACACAAGTAAGTATTGTTTAGTAGGGTTTAGGGTTTAGTAGGGTTTAGTAGGGTTTAGGGTTAACAATGAGCAGCAGCAGTAGTAGTAGTAGTAATGAGGGTTTTTAGGGTTTAGGGTTTAGGGTTTAGGGTTTAGAGTAGATGTGTATATGTAATTGTATAGGTTGATAATGTATCTGAATCTCCTCGTGTAGGAGGAGGGTATGGAGATGCAGCAGCAGCAGCAGCAGCAGATGCAGCAGATGCAGCAGATGCAGCAGCAGCAGATGCAGCAGCAGCAGCAGATGCAGCAGCAGAATCATTATTTGCTGCAGCAGCAGGAGAGGAAGGAATATCATCACCATTAAGTGTATCAGATAACGAGGAAGCAACAAAGGCAGCAGCAGAGGAAGCAGCAGCAGCAGCAGCAAAAGTAGAGGAAGAAAATGCATTAAAAGAAGCAGCAGAACAAGGAACACAAGGAGCAGGAGGAGGAGGAGGAGGAGGAGGAGGAGGAGGAGGAGGAGGAGTACGTCCCTCTTCTTCCTCCTCCTCCTCTTCCTCCTCGTCATTGGATATGTCTTTGTTACAAAAGATGATTGGCGAACAAAAATTAAAATTGCGTAACTTTGTTATACGCATGAGGGAAGAACATGATAATAAATCTGCTGCTGCTGCTGCTGCTGCTGCAGATAATAATAATAATAATAATAATAATACAACAGGAGCAGGAGGAGGAGGAGGAGAAGAGGAAGAAGATGATGGTATGATGGATGAGGATGAGTTGGATATGTTTTCTGCAGCACCAATAAGAAGAAGACGTCGTGGTAATCGTGCAGCATTAGCAGCAGCAGCAACAGCAGCAGCAACAGCAGCAGCAAATATGACAGCATTAGATGATAGTATAGATGAGGAAGGATATTATAAAGCAACAGTAGGTGAATTATTAATAAATAGATATAAAGTAATAAGTGATTATGTAGGTAAGGGTGTATTTAGTAGTGTATTGAGGTGTCTAGACACCTCAGAGGGTATACATGTTGCAGTAAAAATAATAAGAAGAAATGATATGATGAGAAAGGCAGCAGAAAAAGAAATGATTATATTAAATATATTAAATAAGGCAGATAAACATAATAATAAATATATTGTTCGTTTATTGAATACATTTATGCATAAAGGTCATTTCTGTTTAGTATTTGAATGGTTATGGGGTAATCTAAGAAATGCATTAAAATTATATAGTAATATAAATACAAATAATAATATAAATAATATAATAAATAATAATAATAATAATAATAATAATAATAATATAATAAATAATAATAATAATAAGAAAAAAGGATTAAATATATATATATTATATATATTTACTCGTCAATTATTAATAAGTTTACGTCATTTACGTAATTGTAATATTATTCATGGAGATATTAAGCCAGATAATATTTTATTATTTTATGATAAAAAAAATAAATCTTCATCAATTAAATTATCTGATTTAGGTAGTGCAATAGAGAATATAAATAGTAATATAAATAATAATATAAATAATAATAATAATAATAATAATAATAATAATAATAATAATAATAGTAATAATAATATTAATAATAATAATAATAATTATAATTTATTTATTACTGCTTATCTTGTTAGTCGCTTCTATAGACCACCAGAGATTATTATTGGATATAAATATGATACACAAATTGATATATGGAGTGCTGCTGCTACATTATATGAATTAGCTACAGGACAAGTCTTATTTCCTGTAAGTTTATTCTTCTTATTTATTTATTTATTTATTTATTTATTTATTTTGTTTGTTGGTTGTTGTTGTTGTTGTTGTTGTTGTTGTTGTTGTTGTTGTTGGGGGTTGTTATAATGCTGTTTTTATAGTTGGTTTATTCATCATGGTTAGTAGTGTTGTTGTTCCTGTTGCTGTTCTTGCTGTTGCTGTTTTTGTTGTCTTCTCCTCTTGTTGGTGTTATTGTTGCTGTTGTTGTTGTTGTTGTTATTTTGTTTGTGTTATTGTTTCTCTTTCTTCTTGTTGTTGTTGTTGTTGTTATATCCTTTATTTCTAGGGTTTAGGGTTTATTATTAGGGTTTAGGGTTTCCAATATAAATAAATAAATATAAATAAATAAATATAAATAAATAAAATAAAATAAAATAAAATAAAATAAAATAAATAAATATATATATATATATATATATT